CCCCACCCCCTCCCCTTAAACTAAAGAAAAGGAAGTAAATCCTTGCACTTGTTTTATTTTTGAGGCCGGCCATTCCTGATTTAAAGCCACATCATTAAAGTTTTATGCATTCATTTATTTTTATTATAATTATTTTTCAAATTTTTGTTTGCAAAAATCCCTAGTTTAAAGACTTATTCTGGGGGGGGGGGGGGAATTTTGACCTGTGTGTTTATCAATATCTATAATGAGAGAAAGTATGGTGCAAAGGTGAGCTCAAAAGGGTGCAAAATGAGATCCAACAACTGCGCTTAATGAGATTCTTTAAAATACAGCAAGTGCGTTTAATGCGTCATATTTTCTATGGTTGTACAGAAACAGTCTCAGTTTCAACATGGTGTTATAAATCTGCAGTAGAAAAGGGGGTTGGGCAGTCGAATATTAATATAATTTAGTAGGGGCAGCGGGGTACCTGGGGGAGCACTTATTGAGAATCTTATAAAACGCGCTACTTGAATGCATGTTTTGTCAAGCAAGGTTAGTAGATGAGAAGTCCACGCATTTTGGCCGCCATTGTTTTATCAGGATATAACTAGTGCACATCTAACTTGTAAACACAATCAAACAAAATCGAAATGTGATTTGAGTTCTGACTATGCAAAGGACTTACCACCCATGCGGTTCATAGAAGAGGAGACAACTTTGATTATGTTAGGGTAAAGTGCAGCCACAAGCATGGCCGACAGCAAATGACTGTTGTCATTGTTGACATTTGCCTGGAATAAAACGAATGTCATTTGTTACATAATTTTTAACATTTACTTTGAATCATTACAAAAATTGCAGAGCATTAAAAAAAAATTATTATCATGTGACATTTGTAGAATAAAATGCTGTCATGTCCTGTTTAAGAGCTAATGTTTTGAGTGATGCCCTGTTTAAGAGCTAATGTCTTGAGTGATACCCTGTTTAAGAGCTAATGTCTTGAGTGATGCCCTGTTTAAGAGCTAATGACTTGAGTGATGCCCTATTTAAGAGCCAATGACTTGAGTGATGCCCTATTTAAGAGCCAATGACTTGAGTGATGCCCTATTTAAGAGCTACTGTCTTGAGTGATATCCTATTTAAGAGCTAATGTCTTGAGTGATGTCCTATTCAAGAGCTTATGTCTTGAGTGATGCCCTGTTTAAGAGCTAATGTCTTGAGTGATGTCCTATTTAAGAGCTAATGACTTGAGTGATGCCCTATTTAAGAGCTAATGACTTGAGTGATGTCCTGTTTAAGAGCTATTATCTTGAGTGATGTCCTATTTAAGAGCTAATGACTTGAGTGATGCCCTATTTAAGAGCTAATGACTTGAGTGATGTCCTGTTTAAGAGCTATTGTCTTGAGTGATGTCCTATTTAAGAGCTAATGTCTTGAGTGATGTCCTAGAAAATGAACATTGAATGTCAATAGATTAAATAGCAACCACACAGCTTTCTCAATAATACATTAGAAAAATAGACTAAGAAATGCGCCACCTTCAGCTGTATGTAATTTCACGGGGGCGTTAAGTTGGCAACATAAGAACCTTTGAGAGAACTCTTGGGGAACCCAACAACCAGGGCCAAATCCCTTTTGTGAGAGCAGACACAGGTCTGAATGAGCGGTCAGAAGCGATTGCGTACATCCCCACGTAGGGCTGCACCTCAGTGCGTCCAATCTTTTGAATACTGATGTGTCTCTGGGAATTCCAGACGGAACACAAAAATCAAGCGCCATCTAATTAAACTTTTTCAAATCCCAAACACTTTCCTTGGGCCAGCCGGATCTTCAGATTCAGACATCTCCCAAAATGCATTTCTATCACCCTACACTATCTCAGAAATATATCCTTCAAAAAAAACATTTCACAACATCCTTCATGAACCATGAAATCTCACAACTTATGACAAGCAACATCCCATTACTACGTTAAGGATGTGTCCTACCTCTGGGCCAGTGATTTCAGCCACACCGTCAGATCCATCTCTGGCTGCCCGAATGACGTCCCTAAGCCGAATACCTGGACGGATAAATCCAATGTCGGAGAGCAGCTCCACGTACTGCTGCTTGAGGCTGCATAACATCTGGTATTGGATCAAGAAAAATAACATACATCATAACAAATGTGTGTGAAGAAAATGACAAACATATTTTTACAAAACTGTTTTTGAGCAACGGAGAATATCTCCAGTCAAAAATGTGTAATCCATAAAGTAAAGTGAAGTTGGAACCTTCTCAGTGTTTCAGCATTTATTTTAGACCCTTGATGTTAAAAATGTCAAGAAAAGAAAGGGTAAAAAATATATAGTGTCCACTGTACTATAAAGTCAAGAATGTGACATTATGGGAAAATGCGTCTGTCATACTTTTAAAAACTGAATCGTGTGGAGAGTTTGGATTTAAACCCACTTGGATTTGTAAGGGTTTGAGGTCGCATGTTTGGACCACGTCAAAATACCCGCAGTGATTTGTAGGACAATCTAAAGACATAAGTACCTGCAGTGTTTTGTAGGACAGTCACCTTCAGTGTTTGTAAGACAGTCTAAGGACAGACATACCTGCAGTGTTTTGTAGGACAGTCTAGGACAGACATACCTGCAGTGTTTTGTAGGACAGTCTAGGACAGACATACCTGCAGTGTTTTGTAAGACAGAAAATTATCTCTGCAGAAGTTGTAGCAGCTTCTTGATCCTTTGACCTTACACCATTTCTATAAGAATACAGGTACAAAATATTGGAAGTCAGTCACAAGCTTATTCAAATAACTATCTAAAAAAACTTTTGAAAAAATCCTCATGCTAACATCAAAACCATGTAACATGTACAAGATGGATCTGTGACATGTAACATGTACAAGATGGATCTGTGACATGTACATGATGGATCTGTGACATGTAATGTTTACAATATGGACCTGTGACATGTAACATGTACAAGATGAATCTGTGAAATGTACAAGATGGACCTATGATGTGTAATGTGTACAAGATGGATATGTGACATATAACATGTATAAGATGGATCTGTGACATGTAATGTTTACAATATGGATATGTGAATGTAATGTGTTCAAGATGAACCTGTGACATGAAACATGTACAAGATGGATATGTGACATGTAACAAGTACAAGATGAATATGTGACATGTAACAAGTACAAGATGGATCTGTGACATAACAAGTACAAGATGGATATGTGACATGTAACAAGTACAAGATGGATCTGTGACATGTAACATGTATAGGATAGATCTGTGACATGTAGCATATACAAGATGGATCTGTGACATGTAGCATGTACAAGATGGATCTGTGACATGTAGCATGTACAAGATGGATCTGTGACATGGAAAATGTGCAAGATGGATCTGTGACATGTAGCATGTACAAGATGGATCTGTGACATGTACAAGATGGATCTGTGACCTGTAACAAGTACAAGTTGGATCTGTGACATGTAGCATGTACAAGTTGGATCAGTGACATTTAACAGGTACAAGATGGATCTGTGACATGTGGCATGTAAAAGTTGGATCTATGACAGATTTACACTGTGAAAAATGTACAGGAATATTTCTAAAACGGATGCAATAAACAAAGTTCACTACTCTTTGAATGAACTTATTTTCCATATAAATCATTTCAGGTGCACTGACAGCATACAGCATACCTGTAACTGCAATATCTGATAATCCATTGTG